GCATGCGGTTCTGTTATGTTTGTTGGCATTATATTTCATCCATTCTAACCATAGATTAACATCATTGAAACCTGTTTCAGCGGCCATGGTATCTTCAAATGTTGGATTTGCAATGGCCATCATGTCTTTAAAAGATTGGATGTGTGGTTTCAACGGATTTGAGACCATGTGGGTGGTCCCTTTCCACTCAGGAGAGTGGCGCATATCTTTAAGGTGGAAATGTCCTAATTTATTATAGGAACCCTTCTTCCAGTACATTCCCATTACATACTGGTCTGCATCCGTTGGGCTGGGATGCTCAATGTTTAAGATTAATTTCATAGGTATGCCTCCTCCGGGCTTTCTCAGAGTCATTCTCTGGAGGAGGGACCTATCGTGATCATCAATTTTAGATAAGACACTTTTTGGTTTGTAACCCCAGGCAGGCCCGGCATTCCATCCCGCCGCCCCCAATGGTTACAGTTGTGCCCCCATTGTTTGTCAATTACACAAACATAGGGGTCTTTTGAATGAGGGATATCTCTATAGATATTCTGAATCTGTGACGTGGGGAATGGGCATTCTACGATGTCACAGTAGTCAAAAGTATAAGTAGCCACACGGGTACATGATGAATTATACCAGAAGGTGTACCCACTAGCATCTTTGGTGATGGCCACCCGCTGGGCTTTAAGGAGGCCAACTAAGGAGATAATGTACCAGAGGCACATGGTTGCATAGAGTTAGCTTCCTCTGGGGCAGGTGTCTTCTTGCAATGGGAAGCGTGGATCCAGTTAGGCCTTCCGGCCAATTTGACAGAGGTAGGGAGATCAGGAGAACTTGGAACGGACATTTACTGTTTTCGCACAAATTTCTTGACCAGAACCCAGTCATCGGGGAGCAGACTGTGGTTGCCTGTGTCAGAATCAGGATCTGGAATTGAAGAGAAAACTTGGGCATGGATTTTGTTTAAGGCGTTTGCGAGTTCAGTTACATAATCTACTAAGACATCAGTTTGAAGTTGTAGTTGTTGAGGAAAATAGCAACCTAGCCTAGGTGCAGTCCCAAATAGAATCTCATATAGGGACAATGAGGTAGTGTTTTTTGTACAAGAGCATTCATTAGATCCTTTGATAAATGTGCAGGTCCGTGTGCCCATTGTACAACTGCTGGGTACAAATTCTTAGGGAGGCAGAACTTGAGGTTGTTGGAGTACACTCCATCCTTCAGAACTGCCCCTTTCTGTTTCCACTTCTGTATTTCTTCGGGGGCAACTGTAGCCTGTTGTTCCCGCAGGATTTTTAGGTCAGTTGGAAGAGTCTGCAGAGTAAATATGGGAGTTTCTTCATTTCCGGACACTCTTCTTTCCACTTCCTGTGGTTCTCTTGCAGCTTGTTTTGCAGCCTGATCAGCTAGATGGTTGCCCTTTGCTTCATCTGAGTCCAACTTCCCATGTGTTTTTATCTTCAAAATAGCCACTTCTTCTGGGAGTAGGAGGGCGTCCATCAGCTCCTTGATTGCGGAACCGTGCTTGATTGGTGTACCGGCGGTGGTAAGAAATCCTCTTGTTTTCCAAATTAATCCGAAGTCGTGAGCCACGCCCAGTACATATCTTGAATCCGTGTAGATATTGGCGCGCTTTCCTTCAGAGATCTTGCATGCTGAGGTCAGGGCTTGCAATTCAGCTTCTTGTGCAGACATAGTTGATGGTAAAGATGATGATTTGACAATTTCATCTGTTGTGGTTACGGCATATCCTGTATGGTATCTTCCTTCTTCATCAGCATATCTTGAGCCGTCCACAAACAGGGTGAGATCGGGATCTACCAATAGGTCTTCATGCACAGTTGGTAGATGTGTTGTTTCCATTTTCATCTGTTCAAAACAGTCATGAGGTGTATTTGGGTCGTAGTCATTCACTATGGTTAAATCTTGGAACTCATTTTCCAGGAAATGACATGGCCATGCTTTTAGGTGGTCAGTTGTTGGATATTTGACAACACCATTTTCCTGTAGCTGTGATTCGTCCATAGTGGCCCATGCTTTTGCCATAGGCCCAAAATCATTCCATGATATTGTTTTCAACTTGGTCACAGGGACATGTGGAATGGCAGTGTCCCAATGACGGTACAAATGCTTGAGTTCCGGAGGTAGATGAATCAAGACCATACTGTTGCCTTCAAAATCACAGTAGAAGTCTTGTGCAGTGAGTTTTACTTCGACCAGATGATAGAGTTCATCTTCATAGCAAGTTTCAGGAGTGATGTTTGATTTGTACCACATGGTACAGAAGGCATATCCTGCTCCGTCATGAAGGAGTGCTTGTCCATCATGAAAGGATAGGTTGGGATGCATTTCCTTCTTGATGGTGCCAGTGAGAAGAAAAACATAAGTTTCGTCCATGATGAATCCGTAGTATACACCCCCTCAGGGAGTGGCAGAAGAGTGGACGGATTGAGAACTTGACATCTTTGGAGGGTAATGTTGTCAGGCAACAAAAGATGACATTGAAGGCGAAGATGCCTAGCAGGAGTAACATGCTTAAGTTGGACCTGGTTGACTATGGCAGAAATGTCATGAGGGGCCAAGACAACCAGGGGGTGGCCAAGGACAAGATCTCCAGTTCTTTCAATGAGCTCTCTGGCAGCAAAGACGGCCGGAAGGCAAGAGGGACGTCCTCTGGCCACAATATCCAGTTGGCAGGAGAAAAATCCAATAGGCCCTTGGCGGCCTCCAGGACCATGGGCCTGAGTGAGCACTCCTGTTGCATGGCCTTGTCTTTCAGAAACAAACAATTTGCATGCCACTGAAAAGGCTGTCAATTTGGTGTCTTGAGCAGATGTGGGTGAGGAAAGTAAAGATGCTTGACGTACCTGATCTTCTGTAGCAACAGCAAATCCAGTATGGTACCTTTCCTCTTCATCCGCAAACAGAGTGGAGTCAGGATCTGGCAAAGCTACTGCATACCTTGTTGAGAGGTGTCTTATTTCTTCTTTCATCTGTTCAAAGCAACCATGAGGAGTAGTAGAAGAGATATCCTCACCTATTTCTGTGTGAGATTGAGGGTATTTGTCTTTCCATTTACAATTGTCTTGCTGCCCCCCCCTCTGTAGAGAGCTGATATTGATTTTTAGTGTTTCATGTTTTATTGAGTCAGGTTCCTTTTATGAGATTTCTGGGGACTTAGTGAAGAAAACATGAGGGGCAGCCACCTCCCAGTGATGATACAGGTGTCTTACTTCCATGGGAATCTGGGTCAGGACCGCACTATTTCCTTGAGAGTGCCCAAAACAGTATGAATAATAATTTTTGTGTAGTATTCCCCTAGGAAGTAAGCGGAAAAGAAGAGCCAAACACTTTTCAAAATATAATATTTATCAAGTAAGTGACAAAATTAGAGTAGAAAGTAGGAGGAGAGGAAAGGTAGAGTAGAGAGGAGTAGGAGGAAGTAGAAAGAGGTAAGTAGAGGAGGAAGTAGGAGGAGGAGAAAGGTGGAGTAGAGAGGAGAAAGGTGGAAGTAGAAGGAGGAATAGGAGGTAAGTTGAATAAGAGGAGGAGGGGAGGATTAGGAGGAGGAGAAGGTGGAGTAGGAGGAGGGAAGGTGGAGTGGGAGGAGGAATAGGAGAGAGTGGAAGGTGAAGTAGAGGAGGAATAGGAGAGGAGAAAGGTGGAGGTAAGGAGAGAGGAGAAAAGAAGGAGGAAAGGAGGAGGAGAGAAGTAGAGAAGGAGGAGAAGGGTGGAGTAGGAGGAGGAGTAGGAGGAGGAGAAGGTGGAGTAGAGGGAGGAGAAGGTGGAGTAGAAGGTGAAGTAGAGGGAAGAGTAGGAGGAGGAGAAGGTGGAGTAGAGGGAGGAGAAGGTGGAGTAGAAGGAGGAATAGGAGGAGTAGGATTGAATAAGAGGAGGAGGGAGGAGTAGGAGGAGGAGAAGGTGGAGTGGGAGGAGGGGAAGGTGGAGTGGGAGGGAGGAATAGGAGGAGTGGAAGGTGAAGTAGAGGGAGGAGTAGGAGGAGGAGAAGGTGGAGTAGAGGAGAGGAGAAAGAGGAGGAGAAGGAGGAGGAGAGAGAAGTAGAAGGAGGAGAAGGTGGAGTAAGAGGAGGAGTAGGAGGAGGAGAAGGTGGAGTAGAGGGAGGAGAAGGTGGAGTAGAAGGTGAAGTAGAGGGAGGAGTAGGAGGAGGAGAAGGCGTGGGTATGTAGCAGTGGAGGATACATCAGAAATCAGAACTAAGTAGAAATGCAATGGAGGCTGCAAATAGCCCATGTACAACAACTTTTAACTGGCCCTATGCTTTCCCTAGAGAAAAATAATAAAAGGCTAACAAGCACATCTGTCTGTACAGGCCTTGAATGCTTCACTCCGTGGGTATCCCGCAGTGGCTAGTCCACTACATCTCCCACACCAGACTTTTGCTCGTAGAGACAGACGCTATCCCTGACTCTCTCTTTTTTTTTTTTTTCAACCTATCATAAAATATAACTCTTACTTACATCACAAATATACATTATCGCAATTTTATGTCTCGCAAAAGGGATAAAACTTATTTTACTCTTCACTGATAATGTATTAAAACTTACAAAATAGACAAATAACATTGTTTTTCTGTGAGATAAATGAAAAAAACTTACAAAATAGACAAATAACATTGTTTTTCTGCGAGATAAATGAAAAAGATAATGGAGGTTTTGTTAAGCTTTACATTTAGCTATACATTAATTTATCCTTTCTGGTTTCCAGTTTCTGGCTGTTAATGACAATGTACAATGTAATAGAGCAGCAGGAAAAGCTAGCAGAATGCTTGGTTGTATAGGGAGAGGTATTAGCAGTAGGAAGAGGGAAGTGCTCATGCCATTGTACAGAACACTGGTGAGACCTCACTTGGAGTACTGTATACAGTACTGGAGACCATATCCTTAGAAGGACATGGATACCTTAGAGAAAGTTCAAAGAAGGGCTGCTAAACTGGTTCATGGATTGTAGGATAAAACTTACCAGGAAAGGTTAAAGGATCTTATCATGTATAGCCTAGTGGAAAGATGAGACAGGGGAAATATGATAAAAGCATTTAAATACACAAAGGGAATCAACACAGTTAAAGTGGAGTCTATATTTAAAAGAAGGAAAACTACCATAACAAGAGGACATAGTCTCAAAAATAGAGGGACAAAGGTTTAAATAAAAATACTATCAGGAAGTATTACATTACTGAGAGGGTAGTGGATGCATGGAATAGCCTTCCAGCTGAAGTGATAGAGGTTAACACAGTAAAGGAGTGTTTAAGCATGCGTGGGATAGGCATAAGGCTAAGCACTTGCTGCTAGTAACAGATCTAGAATCAATACACTATAATGCCCAAAGTCTCGACTTCTATGCATATATAATAATAAAATATCTGGGCTTACATTAAAAAAATATGTTAGTCAGTCTTTAATCTTGGTGGTTAACATTATCCAATAAAGACAGATTGGAACACACTCCCCCCTTATCCATTTGTTAGTAGTTAGGCTCATAATGTTTTCTGGTTCTTTTCAATTAGATCAAAACATCTTGAGACCAATCTTTAATTGTATTACCATTTGTTCAAGAAATCTTTGTTTATTAGAAATTTCTTTTAGCATGTTATCAATTTTTTTTGTACACAAAGTTAATACATATTGTTACTTAACACGTGAAGATCTCGTCAGCCATGGATGGCCAGAACTGACACGATATATGGGCAGATATGACCTCACTAAGGGCAGAGTGAAGGCACTTAAGGACAACCTTCTTTTGTTCTAGGGGGCATTTTCCTTTAGGGCATACTAAGTCTCTCTGGAGGCGTGGGTTTCATGGGAAGTAACATTCTGTTCGGCAAAATGAAAATCTGAACTGTGGACAGACTTGACGGATTAAATAAGACAGTTGTGAATATTATACATCTAACAGCCCACAAAGCTGTCTCTAGAAACATATACTAACTTAATAACTTCTATTCCTGCATCAGATTCACTCCCTAACCATCCTATCAATTTCTATTGAGATAACAAAATACACAATTAGAATATTTTCTAGCAAAAATTTCATTGCTAAAATCTTATCAGTAGCTTCTGAATAACTCTACAGAACACCGAAGAGACAGACCTAAATCGCAAGCATGTCACCACCCCCCTCCGCCCCCTCCCCCCCGCGTCTCACAGAAGCGAGGGGAGGGGGGGGTGTTTTAGCAGAGGGGGATTTGAGTGGAACAAGAGAGAGACTGCCTGCCAGCACGAATTTAACCATGTCAACGCTGTACAGTAACAAGACAGAAGGATAATTACATTACAAAGCAAAAACACAACATTTCATTTAAACCCCCACCCTCTACCAGGGTAATGGCTAACACAAAATACAAAAACCCCACAGCGTTTTAAGATTGGGGTGGGATGGTGACCATGGTCAGCTACATTTCGGTCATTACTGACAGGATGATGGAAGTGGTCACCTCCTGGAACCCCCGACAGGGCACTGGCTGGGATAACTTCCCAGTAACACAATTATTATGATATACATACAGTTCTTAACCCTTTATGATTTATCTCTTCCTCTACCCAACCCTCCTGCTGGATAGCCTTTCTACTCTGTACCATGCTTCAGCAGTACGCAATAAATCATTATCTGTAAGCTTGCCTTTCTTCTCTGTCAGTAATCTACGCCAGCTTTCTGGCTGTAATCTACCACATGAAGGCACAGCAATTTTACACACTTTAGCAATCTTTGCAACATTTTTAACCAGTTCTTCACCTTCTCTATCTTCAACTAAATCACACGCGAGCCAGCCCCTAGCGGGCTTACTCGTTTCCTGTCCCATATCCCCCTATACAAAGCGTATAAAAACATATACAAAGTATAGGTAAAGGAAAATGAAACAGAACGTCTACAATGCTCGACTGCCACTAGGAAGGGTG